CAAACGCACGGAGGATGGAAGTTTCAGTGGTGTTCGTGGAAAAGTATAGCCGAAAATGGTTCCACGCAGTCGACGACAAAACACCGCTGAGTGCGTTCGACTAAACAAAATGGCAGCCGCCACGTGTTCGGCAAACGAACGCCGACCACCATGTGTAGCGATTAAAGAGATGAGGTGTTCTTTGAAGCTGGGAGGTTGGGCGTTCGGTACAAAATTCGTGATTCGAACGGCCTTTCCTATAGCGTCCAATATAGTCAATTTAGGCGAAAGTTTTAACGAATGGCTTGTTCACAGGATTACAGATCCAGCATAAAACCACCAGGGGGAAATTTGTTATACTTGTTACAATGCCCATCCAGTCTTATCACAGGATGACAAGAATTGGATAACGGGTGTCGGATATACCAAAACTGATTCAGTGCATCTCTATGAGGAGATGCGGATTGGCGCAGAATGACATTTTGCATTTGTAATAGCTATGGGAAAGCATTTGACTGAGATTGTCAAATTTGATGATCTCAGTAAAATGGATTTTTAAAGGGAGACAAAGGGAGCTGGAAATCCAAACAATGATATTACCATTATTATGTCAGTAATACATGTTTGTGTTCCTGACACTATTATGTTCCTCTAAGGTGTTAAGCCATTTTAAAATGTTTAGCATCTCAGCTCTTCCCCAGAGCAACTATATACTGAACCACACTCCACAATCTCACCTGCAGGACTTCTTCAGCGCTGACCTCTCCCTATGGATTACTGTCAAACACCATTCATCTCTCCCAGTCTCTGCAGTCCTTCAAAAATACCTATTTATAGAAGCCTACCCTCATCCCTACAACCTTGCTCTGCTGTCTTCCATCTACTGTGTTCCCTCCTCCCAATCACCTCTCCCATCTTTTCAGTTATACACATATCATTTGTTTCTATCACTTCCTTCTGTATTTGTTCCACATCCTTTTATATTGTAAGCTTGTTTGGGCAGGGCCATTTCACCTACTGTTCCCATATGTTGGTGCTATATAAATAGTTGTAAATGTACTCACGGTGAGTAGTCAGAAATAGGCTGAGGGCCTTAGCTGTCGCTCCCAGAGGAGGGAGAAGATAATGAGGATGGGCACCAGGGAGCATCTTAGTGGTAGGTAACCCATTTCCCCACCTATCCATACATTGTTTAAGCCAATGGTTCTCCTAATATGGCAGGAACCCACATTACATTCATGTCATCAGTTGTGCAAACTGATTCCTCATCTGAAAAAAATTACACAATGACCTATGCTTTTAACAACTAACAACTGATTCTTAAAAAAATAGCCTTTAATTAAACTCTTCCCTGTGTCAAATGAACTAACTTTACCTTAGGGAAGGCTAAAGTAAACAATTTACTGTGAGCACTTACCTTGCACCTAGTGTATTGGATGTGATTCAACCTTTGGGATCTATTTATAAAGCGTATTGGCCTAATCTGGGGTTACAATCAAAGGTTGTACAGATCTATCTATAGTATGCAGATGCATGTGCAACAATGAGTTACTTTTCAGTTTTTGTTATGTCATGTTTTTTTTGTTTTTTTAAAACCCTCCCATTCTCAAATGAAACTGCTGCACTGGCAGAATTAAAGAGGAAGTATGTGGGGTTTTTTTTGTAATGTAATTTGTCTTAGTAAACACTACTAGTTCAAAAGATTATTTTACATACTAAGAAGAAGTGCAGACACCTCTGACTTAACTGGGTAAGTTATGCCGCCATTTTGAATCATTCATGTTCCACATTCTATTTATTATCATTCCTTCTGTTCCTGAAAGTTGTGTTGACTCGGTAAACCATCAACAGTGACTTGTGCTGTGAATTCAAATAATGACACTGGCCAGGTGTAGCTACAGAACAGTTTGTTTGAGCTGCACTTGTGAGTTCTAACAGAAAGCGAGGGGCGCTCAACCTTGGAAACATTGAAGACTGACTAACCTTCAGAAATGTCTGTCAATGTCATTGAGGCCGTTTAGAAATTGTGGGGCAAGTAAGTAGATTTGTTTGAAATCCAATTTCTCTGCTTTTTCCCAAAACAGTTATTGTGTGAGAATCGAATTATTTTTAAATTGAAGGAAAAGGGAACACTGTATGACAAAATTAATAATACAGTAACGTGTTTTCAGAGATGCTAATTCAACTTTAAGAAAATAATGTAAACTGTGAAGTTATTTTTTTTTTCATAGTAACCGTGTTTTAAATACAGATTAAATGGTTACTCCCATACATCCTGTGCTGTATAATTTAGCAGTGAATGCTTAATATTTTGTGATTTAATCCTGTCAGCCCTGTTATGGGGAAGGCATGATTGCCCTTTTCACTCAAATGGTTAAGAATAAAAAAATGCTTTGGTTATCTTATGCTTAATTTCTGCATAATATTTTATTATTTGTTTTACTATTTAAGTTTTTCTTGAGTGATATAAGAGCAAAGCTGAACTAACCACTTATTGAAAGGAATGGTAAACACGGCCAGTATACTTTTGAGGTATATATTTTTGGGCCACAAAATAGAGGACCATTATATTTTACAAAAAGTTTCTCAATAATTGTCATGCTTGTGGAGGTAATATTGTATTCTTGAATTGGATTTTCTGTAGGAAAAGTAATTGCGCTCATTAGTAGTGGTTACTCCTTTGTATCGATCACAGTGCTGTAACCTGGATATATAAAATTGGCAAGTAGCTATGGTTACTCAGGACAGTCAGTGTGAATTTCATGTGAAGTTTCTCGGGGTAGCCATCCGTGTAAACTGAGGCTTAACATATTCCTGTGAACCCCTCTTCCTTTCTAGCAGTGCCCACGCGGAGAGACTGTTATTTAATAGGTGGAACTAGACATTGCATACTTTATCTAATATTTCTAAAAAAGTTATGGCAGATTTAAAGGGACAGTCTAAGCACCAAAATTGCTCCATCTTAATGAAGGGATTTTTGGGCATAGATGTTGCTCCTGCAGCCTTTCAAATGAAAACACTGCCATTTATTTTTAGAAATTCCACTATTTACATTTTGCAGAGCCATGAGAAATTATGGCAACAATTAGATTCAGTTAAGGAATCTATTTGGCGTCTCTTGTCTGTGGATTGATTGTTTCATGCATGGGATTGGCTGATTGTGGAGGTTTTTGTGCATGCACCGTCTGTCTGTCCTCAATAGCTCTCTATAAGAAGAATCTGATTGGACAAAAGTCATCAGTACTGATAAAGCCACAGAAGGTTGATTGGGCTTAGAAGAGTTGTTCAGCACTAAAATAAAGCTAAGTATAATGGTTTATAATTAATTAATTATATATATATATATATATTGGGAGCCCATTAATCTACAGTTATAAAAGGACACATCTAACTAAAAAAAATAGCTTTTTTATTTAGAGTGTTCATTTAAAGTACCACTCTAGGCACCCAGACCCCTTCAGCTTAATGAAGTGGTCTGGGTGCCAGGTCCTTCTAGGGTTAACCCATTTTTTTATAAACATAGCAGTTTCAGAGAAACTGCTATGTTTATGAATGGGTTAAGCCTTTCCCCTAATCCTCTAGTGGCTGTCTCATTGACAGCCACTAGAGGCGCTTGCGTGCTTCTCACTGTGATTTTCACAGTGAGAGCACGCAAGCGTCCATAGGAAAGCATTGTAAATGCTTTCCTATGCGACGGGCTGAATGCGCGCGCAGCTCTTGCCGCGCGTGCACATTCAGCCCAGGAGGAGGAACGGAGGAGGAGAGGAGGCAGAGTTTTAACCCCTTTCCCCTTTCCAGAGACGGGCGGGAGGGGGTCCCTGAGGGTGGGGGCACCCTCAGGGCACTATAGTGCCAGGAAAACGAGTATGTTTTCCTGGCACTATAGTGGTCCTTTAAGTTAGGTTTCATTAGGTCATTGACCCATTAAATAAGTGACAACTGCAGCTAGTTGTCAGACACAGAGAAACCTGTTTGCATATAAACAATTCAGTACATTTAGAAATGCAGGCTGATTCCCTTGGCAGAACACAGGTATACTCTGCTGATTAAATAGCAAATGCATCATTGAAGTCAATAAGCAAAGTAAACCCTTCTTACTCTGCTACGGGAATCCAGCACCTAGAATTTACTGCAAAGTATTTTCTGGGCATAGTTACAAGGATTTATACTTAGGATTGTATACAAGCACATAGTTAGGATCTATATTTATACAGGTTGAGCCCAATGCAAGAAACAAAAAAACAAACAAAAAAACACCACAGAGCTGAAAATGAGTGAAAAACTGTATTTACTAGCATGATAGTAGGAGTGTGTCAGTCCCTGCGCCAGGAAAAGTATTCTAATTGCAATTGAAAAAACTCCAACAGAAACTGGACCTCTATCTACTTAGTAGATAGAATACGGGAATTATATGCAGAATTTCTTTATGTCTGCAATTGGTGAGTAGACGGGAACATTTTCAAACTAAAAATGTTTCTATGTTGTACATACCAAACTGAAACCTTGCAAATGTAATAATGAATTCAACAGCTACAAATGAAAACAAAAAAAAACATTATGTCCTCCCCCATCCTATGTTTTTATTCTGTTTAAAATTTGTTGCAAAAAGTGAACGATAATTTGCAAATGTGCATCATGCTGGATTCATTTGGTCCCATTTTTTTTAAAATTGGAGCTTTGTGAATATTCCGAATCCTATACTTTGTATAGAGTTTGTAAGCAAATAGACAGAAGTCTAATTTGTCTAGATCCCTTACTGTAACCATCTTTTTACTATGGGCTACTGTACTATAGTACTTCTGATAGCTCCTGTTCCTCAATAATGGTGCATAACTTCCCTACTAACAAAATTGCAATCACTAATATATATATATATATATATATATATATATATATATTATATTTTTTGACAATCTCAGTATTTTATTGAAATTTTCACAAAAGTATTACAACATACAGTCATGGTATACTGGTGGGAATTAGTTACAGAAGTAGATCAATCATCCCCACTGCAAGCATTACTACTCCTCTGTGGTTCCCAATTTCAGTTTGCAGGTTTCCAGGTATCACTGGAAGTGTTCAGGGCGCTGCTTACGCTTGGCGTATCACTTAGCTGTGTAACTGCCCTTGTGCACAGAACCTCCATGTATATTGCTAAAATCCTAGTCCCGGGCTTGGGATCGTCCGCCCTATTCATATTCGCCAGTTCCCTGCCACATGACCGTCAATATATACTTTTTCTCATCACCTACTTGCTAGTAAAAAAATAAAAGTACACATAAGAAGTGAAGGGTAGAAGGGAAAAAAAGGAACGAGACAAAGTCCTAAACACCAACTGGTATTAGGTGCTTCATGTTTGAACAAAACATTTCAAGACTAAGCCCAACAGGTTAATAGGCGATTCCCACAGAGAAAATATATATTTCGAAGCACAATAGTTACTACACTTGTTAAGGCAGGCAGCCATAAGTCCTCTTATGCACAATGACCTGACTTGAAGTAGTCATGGTAGCTGGAGCTTACATGTGCAATGTTTTGCAATGAAAAGTTTAATCCTTTTGGTGCCATGGCATCCTTATCCAGCCTGGAACAAGAATTCCAGGCTGGCCAATGCCAATTCTGTGTATATTTCTATGCACCAGCGCTCGTTCTTTGGCCAAGATAGTTTAGCTGAAAGAGTGGCTGGATTGGAATTCTGGTTTTGTAACTCTGCAGAAGACAGTCGAGGATTGTTAGGTTAGTCTGAATAATATTACTTAATTATATTAAAGTTGTTCCAGTCTGTTACAGTCACATACCTGGAACATTTACTTTGCCTTGTCATAACCTGATACATGGAAATATTTTGGCTGGTATTTAGCTGGTTTACTGATTAAATCTCTAGTTCTGGTTACCAAGGAAACGGCGTATCCATTTAAAATTCTGCCTAGCACTAAAACAAATATAATTACACAGGTACATTCCATTGTGTTTTCACAGACAAACATATTTCTAGATTGGATTACACATTTCACTACAATGATATTATTACGAAATAGGCAAAACAGACAAACAAAAAAAAAGACGCACCACTTTATACCTTATCAAAGAATATGTAAAGAATTATGAGTGTTTGCTTATTTGTTCTCAGTCTGGACTTTCTCGTTCCCAGCAAGGAAAGGACCAAACACAGGCTCCAGTCAGCTGGCACTAAGGAAGGAGGTGTGGCAGGGGAAGATTTTATAGGAGGCTGTAATTGGGAAAGAAGGGCACTGGTCTTCACTACAAATAGGAGCTAAGAGGAGGGTTATCAAGAAACAATTTGCTTTTACACTTGCTGGAAGCCTCACAAGCTGTACTTGCTGGATGTGCTACATTTGTCACCAGGGTGCTTGGCATTTCATACTTTGCTTCTAAAAAAAAAAAAAAAGGGAAAAAAAGAAAAGAAAAGAAATCCACAGATACATTTCTAATTAGAAGGATTGTCTATAGAGAACGGTCTACGCATTATTGGTCTGAACGAAAATACAGAAGAAAAACAAAGATCTTATATTATTTTAAAACATGTTGCTGACTGCGGAAGGTCCTGTTCAAGATAGAGGCAATCCTGTCCCAGCACAGAGCTGTATGGCTTGACACGCAAGTGACATGTGCTCAGAGGACAGCAATTAGAAGAAGAGGAGATTATGTACCTTATATTAACTGTTCTTTGGCCATTATTTCTTTATGTTGATTTGCTACACACCGAAGGACTACAACAATGGGATTGTCAGGAAGGTAATCAGCATTTGCCTAACGGAAAGTCTGCTTGTAATGGTAAGTACATTTTAGCTTCTTAATGCATGCGACCATGATTCAATGATTCAAACCTAGCTTTTAGTTTAACCCTTTCTGGATGGTTTTAGACAAATGCCATTTTATTATGAAAGTCCTAACATGTCATTGATTCTGCACTGGTTAAATGCTATAAGGAATGACACGTGGATTTCAAAGCAATATTTCTCGTACTTGACATTTCCTTGGTATATAAAAGGTTACATGAAATTCTCATCTGTCCGTCTGTCTATTCATCGATTTCAGTCCTGGCATTATACTGCTTGACAAAGGTCTTTTAATAAACACTAACTCATGGATAACTATTAATTTGGATGACATAGTATGGGTGACATGTGTAACCACGTTTGTAAACCTGTTACTTTTATGATTGCAGTGTAATATTAACAGGTGCCTGATACCCGTGCCAAAAAACTGCAACTAGTAAATACAAAACATGCATGGCAAATGTAAAACTCCTGAAGGTGCCAGTGATATAGGGAGGGGGCATCGCAAAGGGTTCTTCAGCAATATTAACAGGCTTTAACCACTTGAATGCCAGGGTTGAGTTCATAATTGTACACAAGGCTGTAAATCAAGTCTGACGGAAACAAATCTAAAGGTACATGTACATTTCGCAGTATATTTATGGGTACAACATGTTTGGACAAGTGATGAAAGAAGGGGGTATACAAACAATTTGTATTAAAAAAAAAACAACAAAAAACAAAACAGAACACAGGATGGCAAGGTTGGAAGGGTTAAGAGAGAGCAAGGTAATACCCCGTGGCATGTACTTTTCTCCAGATATTGCTATGTGACAGCAATGTTTCAGCTCAGGAAATTAAACTGACATTGCAGGACATTGCATAGTCTGAACTGTAGCCTATAGGAAATTGGATCATGTAGAATATATGAACATGCCATTGTGTCAATGAATTGTGAAGATGTTAAAGTGAAGATGCTGAGATTACGTTATTGCAGAGAATTGATAGAATTTAGTGCTTGCGTGTCTTATGTCCTATAAGCTTTTCTTATTGCATTCAACCAATTAGAAAATGTGCAGTATAATAAAAATGTTGCCATAAAAATTGCACATTCAAAATATTGATCAACATTTCACCATGCTGGATTTAAAAAACAAAAACATAATTAGTGTTGATTGGGGATACAGGTTAGGAAAATGTCACTTCCCAGGAGTATTTAACATTATATTTACCTTTCACTAAGTACATACGAATATGTAAATTGTGGAATGTGAAAAAGAAAGTGACTATTGAAATCCACACCTCTTTATCCTGTGTACCCATCTTCGCTCCCTGTCACTTATTCTTTTAAGTTTTGTTGTTTATACCTGGCAGTCAACACAGGCAACGTATACAGAGAAGAGGAGAAAATAAACAATGTTTCTGGCTTTCTTAGTAATGTTTGCCCTGGCTTTTCCCTGTTGGAACTGGATTATGACGTCATTTGCTAAATATAAATTTAAAAGAAGACAGAGCATCTCATGAAAAAAGGTTAAAAGATAGGTGGTTTTCAGTATTCTATTCAGTGGTGTAAATTCTACAGAAGAGACAGTTTCTCTTTAAGTTAAGGGAATAATCTCATTATTATATTGGTGTAGTCAAGATGCTGACACACACCATTTTAAAAGGCTCTATGATGATGCTATTCTTTTATGAATGCTGCTCCATTATACCATTGATTAATAGTTATAACTTGTACTTAACAACTTAAATACATCCCACCCCCCACCCAACATGAACGTCCTGTAAATTTGGAAGATAAGGCAGACCGGTGAAGCAAATCACCTCACTGGTGCTGACCAAAAGGGGCAGACTCACCCGCAAACGGGGCGTGTCTGTCTTAAGAACTGGCAGGTCAGCCTGGTGTAAATGAGAACAATACACTGCCACATACATACACACTTCCACAGATATAATAGATAGATAGATATAATAGCCAGCTGTCAATCATCCAGGCCAGACCACTAAGGATAGGAAATGCAGATATCACTGTTTTAGTGGTCTCTGCATGGTTCTAGTGCACCTAGCATACAGCACTACGCTTTCTGGGGGCAGTTCCTAAGGAACAAATGTACGTCAGGACCCTAAAATAGGGACTCTCCTACCAAAATCAAGAGAATCCAGCTTATATAGACAGCTGACTAGGACTATGCAAAAAGTTCCTGTATGTCCTCACACAAACTTTCACTCAATACTCAGGACACAAAGTCCATGCTCTTTTTAGGGTTATAGAGGCCTGTTTTTGTGAAGCCCTTATTCTGGCTCATATTTAACTGCTGGCATCCATATTATAAATGGAAATGTAACAAAAATATATACATATAGTCCAAAATCTCTACTTATAGGACATATTCTGACATAGTAAGAAAATCCACACATTGTTGTATTCCATATATGGGGTGTGTTCTCTTTTCAGAAAATGCACCCAGTAAACACATGTGGATAGTTTGAAACAACATGATGGTAATACCACTAAGGAACTGTTGTTATATAAACTCAGATTCTAAAGGATTTTATTGTAAAACTTGAAATGGTTAACTAAGAGGCTCTAACATATATAAGCTACTTAATAAATTCTGAGAAAGGAGCACATTCCCTCAGATCCAGTATCAGCCTTAGAGGAGTTTCTTCCACTCTTCAAACATGTTGAGTGATTTCGCATTGATAAGCAGTTGGCTTATATGGACACTCAGCTCACCATACCTGAATTGGGAGATATCACCAGGGAGAAGCTATCAACAAACTTCTCCTTGTTGACATCTTTAACTCCTAAACTCAGCTGAGCGCAAGGAATGCTTAGCAAGGAATGCTTCACAAGATTATCAAAGTCAGTGGTGAAATGAATGTATAAAGGACCCTGGTGCAAGAAAGATTCCTCTAGTGCAAGAGTGGCCAGAAGGTAGATTCCCACCTGTCGTACAACTTCAGTGATGCTATGCCAGCTGGTAATCCACCATTTGCCCATCCTTGCAGGGTTGTATTTGTGAGCAGTGTTTGTGCTTTTGAATTTAAGCATGTTTTAGTACAGTATATGTATGAATGTAGGGTTGTATTTGTATGTACCTTTGCCATTAGAATGCAGTGATATACTTGTGTGATGTCAGTGTTTGTGTTGGAATGAGGGGTATGTTTGAATTTAGTGTTGGATTTCAAATGCAGGTGTGTGAAGTGTTGGTGTATGTATGAAAGGGTGTTGTATATAAGTTTAGTGTTTTAACCCCTTCAGGACGGAGTCAATAGTGCACGTTCTGATCAAAACAAAACGTAAACAAAAACTGGAATTTGCGCTATATGTCTGTCCAACCGTAATTCACCGCTGTCACATTAAGTGCACCCACACTTATTATATATCATTTTGTTCAGGAGAAACAGGGCTTTAATTTAGCATTAACTATTCATATATGGAACATAATTTATTATGAATAAAATTTTAAAAAGTGAGAAAATAAGATTTTTTTAAGAAATTTGTATTTCCCTCTGACATTTTAGC